AGTTGTTCAAATCGCAAAGATTCATAATCTTAAGTTCTACCTAATATTAACTCCTGCATAGAGGTTTATGGCATATTGCTCAATCTGTTTCTTGTGCTGTGTGCTGTGTGCTTTTTTTGGGGGACGGGCCGTGCGCAGCAGTTTCACCAAGACGGCCAGGGAATCCACCGCAGGTTGAGTCCCAAGATTTGTAATTTTGAATTTGCCGTTTCAAGTCCAAAGATGGTCCAAACATGGTCAAACAATGGTCCAACAATGGTCCAAACATGGTCAAACAAGGGCCCAACAATGGTCCAAACAGAGCCCAAACACCGTCCAAACACAGTACTACCTGTGACCTGTACAATGGTGCTGCAATGGGTTTGCTGCAAAAGAAGGCGCCTACGTGATCGACGGCGTGTGGTTGAAATGGAGCAGGCATTAGCTCTTCCTGCAGGTCGCTCCAGGGATCGTCCAATTCTTCCTGTAGGGCCGAAGTTTCCACCATTGCCTGAGGAATGTCCAGCTAAGTGGGAGCGTTGCAAACTGGATGATCCAGAGGATCAACAATCGGATGATGAAAAGAAAAGAAACAATCACCCAGGAGGAAAGAGAAAAGTATCTCACAAGAAGGATGGTGCTTGAGAAGGGTTTGTGTCATGTGCTGGGTTGCAATGATGAGGATGAGAGAGTGAAGGTTCATTTGTGCAAGAAGCGGATGTTGGACCTTACTCCTGACAGCACCAATGCACTTGATCCAGATATGGCCCACAATATAGCCAGGGAGGCAACATCGGATGACAATCTGACCGAAGATGACGGGTATTTTGATCCTGGCCGTGTACCTGGTCGAGACAGAGGTGTGAGCAGCAGTGCTTATGATAGTGGTGGTCATGATGATCATGATGGGGAAACAACACCAGCTCGAGTTCGCCGCTACATTATGTCAAGTCGTTCCGAGGTGTCGGATGAAGAGTTTTGGTGCTATTGGCATGAGACGAGTAATGAGGAGGACTGACCAACACCTTGCCCTGGCACAGTTGCAACCGTGCCTCAACTGAGGCATGGTTTCGAAATTTGGCTGTGAGGACACTGTGCAAAAAATCGCCTTTGCTGTTAATGAATGAGAAATTCAATTGAGTTTTTGACTGATTGCACAAACCAGCAAATGACTCACCTGTGCAGCAGTTTCACCCATATATATATACATATATATATAGGCATTGCGCACACACAGAGTCACGAACCAACAAAACTTTATGCACTATAGATCCCTTGCAGGGTGACGGTGAGACGGCCGTGCAGCCAACGCGCAACAATAGGAGAAAGTGCACTGATCACAGCTTTCATCAGAAGTTTCAAGTCCAAAAACCGATCTATTGGGAAACACATGGTCCTTTTGTTTACATTTCACCTACTGGCCGCGGGGCACTTCATGCATGGAGCGTGCGCGGTTTCGACGCCAGGGCCCTAATCAAATGTATCATGTATGGACAGAACATGGTGGAAAACTACGCATGAAAAACCGTGCTTCAAAACGCAACGCAGGGAAAAACACCATGTTCACTTGCCCTTGCACAGCTCAGCACCCCTCTCAGGTCGACGACAGCATCAAGCAAGACAAGGCGCCTCAGAGAGACTCACACAGGAAACAGGCCTGAACGTTGTCCTTGCATGAATCGAACTCTGAACAGGTGTTGGGCTCACGATTCAAACAGGAAAGGCAGTTCAAACAGGTGTATGCCTCTTTCAATCTAATTTGCATTGTAAGCAAAGTGGAGCCCATGTCCACGGTCCATGTTGATTGGAGTCAGTAAGATTCAGTAAGGATTAATTCCACAGTCGATCAACAAACCACAGTTTCTGGGTTGTGCACTGGCTCCTGCATGAGCTTGCCATGGATGATGAAGAGGGCAAACGCCTCAGATGGATGGAGCGGCGCTGCAACCAAGAAATTGTTCAAAGCATTCTAGTACTCCTGGCCAAATTGACTTTCACGACCATTGCGCATATGGTGATGCCTTCTATGAGCGATGGCCAACCTACTAGTTACTAGTGAAAGCAGTGAAATTGAGCTCCCCTGCACTCCAAACAAGCTCTGGACGCCAGGACTTCCTGCACCGGCCTTTTTGAAGACCTTCCATGACTCTGTGAGGAAAAAGAAGGCCAAACACTTTTTCATGTGAATTTTTGAAAATCTACAGTTCTCCGCAAAAGCTGTGTTTGCTTTTTGAGTTTGCATCCTATTGCTTGGGCTAACCTGGGTCCAGGCCAAAGGTGAAGAGTTCTACTTTACCTTGAGATTGGACGACCCCGACAATGCAGTCTCAGTGGTTGAGCAGGTGATTGTTTTGGTACTTTTGTACTGTTTTGAAACCAGCCTTCTGGAGGCCAATCTGAACCACAGCTTTCTTAAGCCGTGGTTCGAATGCTTTGGACGGGCAAGTCCGACTGTGAACGAGATCAAGATTGTTATTTTAGAGTTGAACGAGTCAATGAAGGCCACTCTACCTTTCATGCCATTTAGTACGCTTTTGGTATTGTCCTAGTCTTCCGGTTTGCTGCAATCCAATATCGGAGGGTCCTTTGCAAACTCTTGGTGAAGGTTCTTGCTGGGCCCACCATCAAAGATCTGAAGGCAGGGCCCTCATGATCACTAGCTTAGCTTTCCAAGTTGCACACCATATTGCGCCCAACATGCCAGACTGAAGCGAACAAGTGTGCGATAGACTGGCGAGCGCTGGTCTCTGATGTTCTCACTCTGGAACGCCGGAGCGCAGGATCAAGGCATCTAGATTTGTTTGTTGTTCTGGTGCAATGTGCAATCTGGCTGTTCTTATCCACTGTTAGTTGTTCCTGGGAAACCACTGGCAGGGATGGAGACCTCAAGATTGCAGACCTCAAGAGGACAATCAGGGAGAAGAGCGGTCCCAGAGAGAAAAAGGCCTAGGGGGTTTTCTTTCTTTGCAATTGGCACTGTGTCTTCATTGCGTGTTGTCAGGCAAGATCAACAGACAGCCTCACCTCTGCTGGAGAGAAGTCGGACAAGGTTCGTTTGGTGCCCTTGCTTTGCAAATGTCCAGCTTTGGTGCTCTGCAGGTGGTCACTTCACCAGAACCAGCCGAGAAGGCAACCAAGGCAGAAGAGCAGGTTCTTCGTTCACGCCTGTTCCACCATTGTCATTTCCATTTGGGAGTTTATTTTGGCATTCAATGAATACGGATTCGATAGAATATCAAATGTCTGGAGGTGCCTTCGAATCCAGTTGCCTCGGAGCCAGCTGACCAGATGATGTTGACCAGTGCAGAGGAGAAGGTCTGTTTTTGGTGTTCCCTTTAATGTGATTACTCAGCTATTGTGCTCTGGAGGTGCCCTCAGAATCAGCTCCCTCAAAGCCAGCTGGCAAGATGACCAGTGCAGAGGAGAAGGTTCTTTGTGGTATTCCCATTAATTTGATTTGCCAAGCTATCGTGTTTGGAGGTGCATTTGAATTCAGCTGCCTCCAAGCCAGCTGACAAGACCACCACTGCAGAGAAGTCGGAGGAGGTTCTTTTGATGTCCGCCTTGATTTCCCCAGCTATTGTGCTCTGGAGGTGCTTGCAGTTGAGGCCAAGGCCAAGGCTGCAGTGTCCAAGTCAAGTTCATCCTCCTCCTCAAGCTCATCATCATCATCATCATCATCATCCAACAGCAGCAGTGAGGACTGATATGCGTTTGCAAGATTAACATTGAAGCAGCCAAATCCCGATCATTGGTGGTTTTTCCCGGTCAATGCCTGGTTTTTCCCGATCATTGCTGGGTTTTTCCCGATCATTGCCTGGCAATTCCCGGTCAATGAATTGATGCCAGTGTCCACTTCAATGCAGGATGAACAGGATGAACGCAAAAAGCAGGTCAGGACCTAAAAGAAAGGGAGTTGGCTTTTCACTTTGCTGTTCCAGAACAGTTTTGTTTCTCTCACACACTAGGTGCCTCCGGTGCCTGCAGCACCGGGTCATGAAACCTGTGGAGACAGAGTGGTTTTGGAAAAGAAGGTCAGGATCTCAAACAAAGGAGGTTCCAGAAAAGCATTGTTGTCTCAGGAACGCTCACCATCACCATCCCCAGTGTTATCGTCATCATCGTCCAGTGAGAGCAACAGCTCTGATGAGGCGCAGGTATTTTGTTGATGTTGGTTCAAACCTCATACATTTGCTCCCTCACTGGTTTGATTTGGGACACAGGTCCAAAGTGGACAATCTGCAACCTAGCTGACTTTGTGGATGCGTCAGGACATGGAAAGCAAGAAAGAGCCTAAGAAAAAGAAGGCCTTTGGACACATATTAATATGCGACCTTGTTGTTGCAATAATATCTCCAGCCAACAAAAACCTCATAATTAACACCCAGTCCTGTGTAGGCCACGGCTTCTGGTGAAAGTGGGCCCAAAGCACCTCAGCAGGAGAAGGAGCCAGCGGTTGATTCCAGTACAAACGCAGTGGACTTTACTGAACTTAATTACAATCCAGTCTTCAGGACAAGCATTGCCATGTTCCACTTCAGTCTAAATGGTACAAAGCCGTCTGCAATGGCGTGAAGCACCATGAATTGAGATCTTGGTCACCATTTTGGAAGCCAAGGCTTTCAAATGCAACACATCTTGTCTTCACCCATGGCCACTTTCCTGAATGTTATTGTTGGGGACATCGTTGGCAGTCCTTTGCACAAATATTTGCACAAATATTGGTGTAGTAAGCCCGTCAATCCTGGAACTCTCAGGCTATAGCCTCAAAAGTAGATTGCCTCCATTGCGGATCATTGGCATGAAAATTGCCCCAAGAGCAGAAGCCTTGGTGCATGGTGTGCAACCGGATGAACTTGACCACTTGTTCAAGAACTGGGACCAGATCGTAATTGTCGAGTTTGAGCCATATCACCGTCAACAGGAACCATGAATCAAAACCCAATGACATATGATGCTTGTGTTGAGTTTACAAACATCAGAAACTGTCTACACCTGTCTCCAGGAGGATTCAAGCCGGTCCATGAAGCCTCCGCAGGTTCCATAATGCTGTACCTGTGTTTATGCACTCAAGCTGTTTTGGCTTCCTTTTTAAATCTTCGATGGTGTGATATCCAGGATCCCCATGTGAAGCTGCAGTGGATCCACCCGGATGAAGTGGATACTTTGCCTATGGATGAGGCTGGCCTGCCATGGACATCTATACTTCTCAGGGAATTCTAACTGTGGCCAAGTAATGGTTTTCCGTGTCAGACACCCCAAAACCCACACATAAACATTACGTTGTAAATTTTAGTAGTGGATCACGCTGGCCATGGTTGAGCTTCCGTGCAGGATCCGGATATCAAGCCAGCTGATCAAGACCTGGCCAGTGCAAACAAGTCGGAGCCCAAACATGAACTTACACAACTTACACTCTCTCCATCCACTGCCAAAAAGGGTGTGAAATCAACTTTTCAGGACAGTCTGCATTGATGTTCTATTGTCTACCAGTGTAGGGAGGTTTTGATTTTTGATTTCCTGTTGAATTTACATTTGGCTTGCAGCATTTGTCGAGCTGCAGGACCACAAGCCACTAGAAAAGGAAGCTGCAGCTCTGACACCACAAGAGGAAGCTGCTGCTGCAAAAGCAGCCTTGGAGTTGTACCGCACCAAGGAGGATTCTGAAAAAGACATCCTGCAGGTACGCAGTTTGTTGCAACGATTGAAACGCTTTCGCGGCTGTGTGTTTTGCTTTTGCCGACCCACTTCAAGGGGAATCATTTTCGCCACATCTTCGTGAACCTTTCGCCAACCTTTCGCCTGGCTATCCTGCCAATCCTCAAGTTACACTTAGAGCTACCACGCTGCTCGCCCTCATCCTAATCCTCATCCTCACCTCATCCTCATCATCCTCATCCAGATTGCTTCACCGCAACAAAGTCAAGTGGGATATGGTGGAGCTCTTTCACATCGCGGGCCACCGGAGGAGCTCTCATTCGAGCGTAGTCAGCAGTCATTTGTCGTCGTCGTAGTAGTAGTAGTAGTAGCAGTAGTGGTAGTAGTAGTAGTAGTCGTAGTCGTAGTCGTAGTAGTAGCAGTACCAGTAGCAGTAGCAGTAGCAGTAGCAGTAGCAGTAGCAGTAGTAGTAGTAGTAGTAGTAGTAGTAGTAGTGGGCAAAAGGACCCTCTTCCCCTCTGTGCTGGCCCAAAGATTGGGTGGTGCGAATCCCCCCTGGTCAATTCTCATTTTGAGAACGCATTTCACCTCCCAACTTCCAAGACCTATTTTGCACAGGAATTTCATTGCCTTGCACCCTGTCTTCACATCTGACCAACCAGATTCCGATCCTATGAATCCGATCCGAACAACACCCTGTTTTCACAGGCTTGTCATGGGCTTTTCATGTCCTTATCATTGCCTTTTCAAGCTTCCAGCTCCTGTTTTGCTAAATAATCGATTAAACCAATGCGTTACTAAAGAACTGGTTAAACTGGTGCGTTGACCCACCGGGTTTGGTCAGAACCTGTTTGCAAACGCAGGCTCAATCTCGAGTCAGAGAACTACACCGGGAGGAGGAGGCAAGGCAAGTTCAAGAGAAACAAGAAAAAAAAGATATGCAGAAACTGAAGAGGTTGAAAGCTACTGAACTGGAAGAACACTCAGAGAGTGGGGGCAAATCTGTTGTGGCTCCAAAAGAAAGCAAGAGTGGAAATCATGGTGATCATGAGGGGGAAAAGCCGCCTGAGAACCCTCCCAAGAAAGCTCGGAAAACGGCCTTTGCGTCTCCTGAGCTGGAAGCGTTTTTCGCCTCGCCTGCAACGACTGCTACGGATGTGCAGAACCCAGGAATCAAGTTTGTATTGATTTGATTGACTTCTGAAGTGAACTCAGCAGACTCAGCTACTTGATCAACCAACAGAAGGTGCTGGCCAAGCTCGAGGACCTTGAGGGCCTTGTGATCCCAAAAAACCTGATGGAGTCTAACAAGAAGTCGTTCACTATCCAAGCGCCTGCCGACTTGGGGACGGCTATTAAGAGCATAGAGATCAGGTTCTGGCCGTATCTCAGAGCATTAACTTTCATCGTTGCAGTTTTTTCTTGAAGAAGGGCTTAGATTAGTTCTGCGCCGGGCTGAGACACAATGCTGGGTTCTATGTCAAGAAGGTTGTCCACAACAAAGACGACAAGGACATCAGCATCGACAAATCAGGTGGCTGTTCATTGTCAATGCGGAAGTACGGGATTGTCGATGGGTGGCTTGCCTGTGTTAAATATCAAGAAGAGAAAGGACAGCCAAAACATTTCTGCAATCCCTTCTGACCCACTTCACCCAGCAACCTCTTTCGCTAACCCTCTTGCCTAATCTGCAACCACTGCTTTCGCCGCATCTTCGCTAACCTTTTGCTTGGATATCAGGAATCTTTGGATGACATGCTTTGTACTGAAAAGCTTTTCCCAACCAATTTGCAACATTTTCTGCACTTTTCTCCAAACAGTTTACTGTCAGGGTTTTTCTGTTCAATGTTAGCCAAGGTGGGCAAGGTCACGTCTCCTTGCAGGGTGGACAACCGTACCAAAGGCCGCATGAACTGTACTGTGCAGCTGTAGCCCCAGAAAAAGCAAAACGTGGCCTTGAGTTCAGACATGTGCCCATGCAAAACAAATGGCAATCAGTGTTGCAACAAGGAAACATGCATAAATGTTCAGCAAATGTTTGATAATTGCATGATTTTGCATGCTTTGCGTTTGAGAGAAAAGGCTGGCTCAAAGGGATCTTGGATATTTGCAAACTGGTTTGGAATGGGGTCAACGCCACACCCACTTCAACTCACCCGCAGCCAAGCTTCATGCTTGATTGCTCTAGGGGCTCCAATGGTACTGCCCGAAACCCAGACCAAGCCTTCGAAATCTCCAATTCTTTCGATGAAGCCTTAAGCTTCACCTCAGGCTACATGCAGTGGACTTCATTGTGCAGAACACGTGTCCAAACGCAGTCTCTTCACGTCGTGTCGTGGTCTCAGTGCTTTCTACTAGACTTACTAGGGTGCCTTGAAGACATGGATTCTGTTGGCCTCTCACTAAGAACATGAAAGTTTATGAAGTCTACAGTGGCACAAGCCGCATCCACCAAGCAGCACGTCTAAATCTCAGGTGAATCAAGAACAGTTCATGCATGTACAACCATAGAATTGAGTTTAGGTGAGCGGGGACTGATGAGGTGTGGCTTTTGTTGCTGGTGTTACAACACTATGTTGCCTTCTCATGATTTGCATTGGCCTTGCCAGTGACTACTACGACATTCTTCACCGTCCATTTGAAAACAACATAGAAACTGTGCCCTCAACTCAGATCTTGAGAGTTTCTGGTGGAAGCTTGAGAGTTTCTGGTGGATAAACATTGTTGGTTTCCTAAGGCCAGGTTTCCTGGCCTGTTTGAAGGGAGTCCTCAGACTCCAGAGCGGATCCTTGTTGTGGCTTGGAGTTCCTTGCTCGCTCCTGATATTCATCTCTCTTGGAACAAGCCAACGAGGCATCGGAGGATATTCAATGTGGGGCAACACCTCACTAGAAAGTGTCCGCAAAAGCAATGTTCACCTGGCCAGAGCAGCCCTTTGCATACTCCTATGCATGGCACGCCAATGTTGGTGGACTGTGGAGCAGCCTGGGACATCAAGATTGCCTCGGATTCCATTCTATGAGGGCTTGCTCCAGGATGACTTGATCCCAACTATCCTCCAAAGGTTGTCTGGCTCTCAGGGGTTGTTGCATCATGCATCCATTTGCAACCCATGAGGCCATTGCTACTACTAGTAGGTGCCTTCAAGGTTGCTGGAGGTCCATATTGCTAGTAGGTCCATCGCTTGACCTGCTGGGTTGCAGCTGCAGTTGGATGGGAGCGTTCCCTGGGGCAATATCACCAAAGAGGACGATGATTTTTGGGACATGGTTAGGGCCTAAGTGTGGTGTTTGAAGTGTATTCAGTGCAATGCAATTGACCATAGACAATGTTTTTGTAAACAACACTAATTCCGAAAGGCCCGCAATCAACAAGTTTGCGAACAAGCTCACAAAGAAGCGTCGGCAAGCTCTCAAGGACAGGGCAGGGTAATCGAAGCGCAGGACCGTCATGATTTTTCTAGGACTTGCAAGCAAAGCGTAAGATCCAGATTGTGAAGCGCAGTCGCAAGAATGGGAAAGTGTTGGCAGCTCAGTTCGCGTTCTCACATTTGCAAAACGTTTTGTCATACTAGCTATTCCTGAGGTCAGGTGGCAAGCACCTAAAGTCTACAGGTGCTTATCCAAAGCCATTTGCGCGACGTATAATCTCCGAGCACTTGAAGGTCAAACATGTCATGGCCTGAGTTGGGAAGTCTCAATGGTAGTTTCTTGGACATTTGTTGCTGTGTGAATGAGTTGGAAAAAGCTTGTCTCCTACCCAGCATTAAGGATATCCCAAATGGCAAGAAGTTGAACGCATCACAAGTGCAGAAGGCTGGTCACCTGGAGTCTTTGCAAACCACTCTCCCAGTTTTCAAACCACTAGCCAGGGCCCAGCCGTTGACTGGAACCATGCTGATCTGCGCGACCTAGAGATGTTTCTTGCGGACCGCATCCATGAAGGCACCTTCAAGCCTGTGTTCCCTTTTGCGCGGAAGTTTTCGTCATCGGGGGCATCTGGGGTTCGTGCCAATGCAAAGCAGAGGCAGTAGCTCCAAGCCACCTTGCAACATAGCATGGGGCAAGTCAACGCAGACAAAAGCTGTTTCGACAATTCTGGATTGAATGAGGAAATGTGTTTGCTGAACATGACTATTCCCAAGACTGTTCCCAGCAATCTTTGCTCCAGTGCTTATACAAATTCATTTGTTGTGGTGGTCAGTGGTTCACTGAATGCACTGAATGCGTTTCATGGGGTGACTGGAACAAAAGCAGTCATTTGGTGCCCCTGAAGGCCACAGATTGCACCTGAAGTGTTGTTTGCAGCACTTGGCTAAAAACAGCAAAAACTAGCAAAAACCAATGACCGGGAAATGCCGGCCATTGATCGGGAAACGCCGGCCATTGTTGTAGAAATGCCGGCCAATGATCGGGAAAAACCACCAATGACCGGGAAATGGCAGGGCTTAGTGAAAATGCACCATTTGTAACATTTTGTGATGAAACCCAAGGATTTTGCAGAATGCTGGTCTTGTTTTTCATCAATTGGCTCCAAAGTGGTTTGAAGATCTCGTGGCCATACACAGGCTTGACCCCTAGATCCAAAAAGTGTGACTGTGTCCATTTCAAGCTAGTACTCCTCGCCTCAAACAAGGTGTGCATTGTTGCGCAGCATGGCTGAGCCCGCAGCTGCAGCTGGTTGGGCACTGATCTGGATCCTGCCAGTGCAATGCTATATTATATTTATTTATATAGCTGTCAGAGCTGTCAGAAACATTTCATGAGGACTCAACGCGGTTGTGGCGGAGACACAGGCAGAGTTCATCCTTTTTAACCTTTTTGTGATTTGAACCACCTAGCTGGCCACACTGTTTTCGCAGTCCTTTTAGTTTGTTAGCTGCTGTACAACTACATATATGTGGCAGGCGCAAACTCCATGTGGTGGAAGCTCAGCTGCGTCCACACCAGTTGAGCCACAAGAGAGAGAGAAGAAGGATAAGAAAGACAAAAAAGAGAAGAAGGACAAGAAAGACAAAGACAAGAAATCAAAGAAGGAAAAGAAACAGGACCGTCGTACTCCCACTCCAGAAAGTACACGTCTTCCATCACCGTTCATCCCGCTGCTGGAGTGTCCTGGGGCATCTTCACCATCGATCCAATCTGTGGAACCCAGCAATGGCCTTGATGAGGCCGGTATGGGCCCCAAGGCTGGTGAGATTGAGAAGGTAGATACGGGCAATATTTACCACAAGTATGCCTTGAATGCAGAGGCCCTTGCTGCATTGAACAGGAAGGCCACAGCTGATTTGTTGGCGGAGGGTTTGGGCCCAGCTGAAGTTGCTGATGGTACAGTTGGGGAAGTAGTTGAACTTTCTGACCATGTCAAGAAGCTGCGGCATGCACACCTCAACAAGTTTGGTCGAAGCTTGAAGAGTCCGATGCTCATCACTGTGGTCACCGTTTTTGTTGTTCCTGTTGTTAGGGGGTTGGACTGAAATTGAAACTCCCAAGGCAAATCCACCCCGGCTGAAATCAAAGTCCTGGCCCGCAATATCCGTGCAGGCCAGGGACATACAGGCTATAACAGTCACTTGCACCATTCCATGAATCATGCGTTTAAATGCTTATTCCATTTTTGCGGGTGAACGCAATATCTATTCTTGTCCATTGTGACTAGGAAAGGATTCCGCTGCATACAGTGACCTCTTGGAAGACTTCTTCAATTGCAGAGGACTGTTGAGGCAGGGCTGAGTCAATGTCTGAACACAACCATTTCTCACTGGGAGGAAAATGGGATGAGAGTCGCACAATGGATTCCTTGGCACACCGAACCCGCAAGAAGAGAAGCCTGAAGAGGACTTGGATGACCCTTAAGGATCTTGAGAAGAGGCTCCAACACAAACCATTCAACCAATATTGATATTGGGACACGTTGAGTAATTAAAGTCCAGTTTGTCTGAGCTC